ACAGAAGATAGACAAGATACTCTGATAGGCACGATTCCTACATAAATAATAGTTTATTGTTCAAGGTTCAAGCTCTGATTTGATAGGGATTTAGCAGTATGTTCTAACTCACCAATAACAGAACAGATATAGATATATAGCTACATATGCCTTTATACGTACGGCATGCCAGAGACTTAGCTTATGGATGTATAGACAGATGGGAAGATACTTGATAGATAATACTTATATTAATCTATATAAATGATAGTGTTAGATAGATAGATAGATGGATAGATAGGTTGGTGGATAAATAGATAGGTGGATAAATAGATAGATAGATAGATAGATAGATGGATAGATAGAAAGATAGATAGATAGATAGATAGGTAGATAGATAGATAGGTGGATAAATATATAGATGGATAGATAGACAGATAGATAGCTAGATAGAAAGATAGAAAAATATATACATAGATGGATGGAAAAATATATAGATGGAAATATAGATAGATACATTAATAGACTGATTTACATATATTTAGACAGACCGAGCAAAGACATCTAGATAGAAAGGTGGATAGAATGAAATATACATTAGTATATAGGTATATTAAAATCACACAGAAAGATAGATAGAAAGATATATAGATAGATAGATAGGTAGATATGTGGATAAATTGATAGAAAGATGGATAGATAAATACATAGAATGATACACACATATAAAGATAGATATTTTAGAAACATCCAAGTAGAAAGGTAGATATTTGATAGAGGGATATACCTATAGAAAGAATAATGCACATAGATATGTAGATAAGAGACAGACACATAAAGAGGTATATAGAAAGAAAGATTGTTATAAGCCTAAATTAAGAAAACTGAAAAGTAGAGCAACAAAAATAGCCGTCGGCAGTTAAAGAATCGCTCCTAAAGACGCAAAGCTGTTAAAGCCCAGAAAGTATCTCAATGCTAGCTGACATCCTCTCGTCTTTTTCTGCTTCGTCTTAAAGCCAATCCAAGCAAAATGTACACAATTTAATATGACTTAAAAGCCCGCTGAAGAAGTGTTGAAATCTTTCCTCAATATAAATTCTTGTAATTTAATTTCGCTTTTTTTTTTTGGTACAAGTAGATTTAGTCTTCGGCATGCCCTCCCCCTTCGTGCCCACACACAGCACACATGCTGCGAATGGAATCCCGGTTCTGCTTATCAGCCTCAAATATCCATTTAGCTAAAATGTATTAAAAAGTAACTCAGATGCTATCTGAGGCCATCCATTCACGCTCCTCGAGACGCACAGACACAGAGGCAAGCGCTGCGCGCGGCAACCCTCGAATAACTTTCGAGAAATGCTCGAAATTCTTGCCCAGAGCAACGGTAACAGACAACAACAACAACAACAACAGCAGCAGCAGCAGCTTTGGAATATCAGTTTCTTCTTCAGCAGAAGCTGTAGCTGAGCAGCGCAGCGGCAGAGGCAGCGCAGGAATGACAAAATTTGGCCTGTGGGGCTGTCGCTAGAAACTCACACACACACACACACACACGCGCACATACACCAAGGCAGAGACAGTCAGAAAGGGAGACAGACTGGAGAAGGAAGTGCGTTGAACGACGACGAATGAAGGCAGCAAGACAAGAGGGCAAACACACAGCCAAACATACAACAGCAGCAGCAGCAACAGAAGCAGAGCGGGGAGAGAGAAGGGCACGCATAATCGAACAAGCAGCGACTGCTGCTTATATGCTGCGAATGAATGGATGGATGCTATCTACAAAGCGCTCTTATATGCACAGTAAATATATAAGACACTGTGTGCGTGTGTGTGTGTGTGTGTGTGCAGTTACAATTAGTGGCGACAAGAACGAAAAGAATGGAACAATAAGCGCACACGATTCGGCTGTGTGTGAGAGAGAGTGTGAGAGAGAGTGAGCAAATGGAGGAGTGAGTGCAATGTGGAGAGTTTGTGTGTTGTTGCTTTGCTAACGTCGGGCGACGGGCAAAGAGTACATTTTTAGCTAGCAGGACGCGCTGTTGGGCTTAGGGGCGGTGTGCGCGGGTACAGCAGGGTATGTGCTCAGGGCTTAATATTGAAACGTGTCTCATCAGATGCTTCAACTGCAACTGCGATAACACAAAACCAACCACACACACACACACATGCATACAAATACAGTAGTGTGCTGGCGTAGTATGTGTGTGCGTGCTTGTGCGCGCGCGAATGTAGTGAAATGGAAATGCAAAGAAAAATAACAGAAAAAGAACGAATGTAAAACGAAGCGCAAAATGAAAAATTGTACATAAAAATGGAAATGCGACAACAACAACAACAAACGAGGCATCGAATAACCCTCGCCCCGTGCCAGCGGCAACGGCCATGGGCGTGGAGTACATACAGCCAAATCCGACAAACCTTTCCCAAACGCAAACTATATATACCTTTGTACATATGTATGTACATAGGGTATATTAAAGCGTAGTGAAACGGCATTTGGTCGTCGCTAACGGTAGTCGGTTGCCTTGTGCTCTAGGGCTGAAAGCGACCCAGAGCCTCAGTCGGGCGCTAGGAATGAGCGCGTGTCACGTAACGAATGCAAAATAATATCGCTAACGATAAATATAGATAATGTAGATAACGATATATTTAACAATTTTAAATAGTTGATTTATAGTAATATCTTATTATCTTTAATAAGGCTTTTTCTCCTTTTCAACACTAATAGAATACGCTGTCACGACACGCGCCCATCTCTAGCATTCGCACTCACTACTCTAATTAGTTTTTATAGTAAAAACCAGTGTCTATATATAACACAAAAATATGAATATAAGCAAGTGGGTAAATGGCGGGCTGTGGTGGGGAGCTGTGCGAGCTGCTTCACTTGGCACCTAACACAGCTAGTCCGGGCCTCAAATCATCTCATCCACAACACTCAGCTGGATTTGGCTGTCGCTTATGCGTGATAATTCAATTAGGAATGTGTGAATCAGGCAACAACAACAACAACAGCAGCAGCAACAAAAACAAAAACAGCGGGCACACAAAATGCAGCAGCAGCGAACAACAACAGCAACATGCAAGCGGAAACAGGCGAAGAAAAAGAATTGAACAGAAAAATACTCTTTCCCAGCAGCCGAAAAACAAACGCCATGTCCATGTGCAGCAAACACACACACACACACATAGTCGTACCGTTGCATATGCAACCCTGTTTTTGGGTATGCGTATACGTGTGTGTGTGTGTGTGTGTGTGTGTGTGTGTGTGTGGCACAGGAACAGAATCACAATCAGAATACACGGCCTCGGCTCTGGCTATGGCTCTGGCGGCCTGAAACAATTTATGTGCCATGTATTTTGTACATAAAAATAGCGACCGAGGCAGCAGCAGCAGCAGCAACGGCAGCAGAGACGCCAGCACTGGCTGAGGCCGGAGACGGGGCATTGGACATGGACGTTGCCTGGAGAGGGGCCATTATGTGCGCAGCTTGCCTCGAAAATATTTCAACACACAGGCATGCGACTGAGACTGGGACACTAAGTGCGCAGCGGCTTAGTGTGGTTAAAATGAAAGAGGGGTTGATAAAGGGAGTAAGTGAATGTGCTGCACACATTTTATGTTACCAACATATGCATATAAACATTTATATATTAACGGAGTATACGCTTGACATATGTACTTATATAAGAGGAAATATTTTAAAATAAGTATGCATCTGTATTATTTACGAGCTTAGTTATCAACGGTAGCTAGTTAATCCATGTGTCAATATTTATATTCATTATTTAATAACAACTATTTCGATTCAGATGTGAACAGCCCCTCGCAGCAATTGCAGCGTACGCCACTGCATTCTATCTTGAATCTTACTGTACATACAATACATACATACAAACACAGCCATGTATAGCACTCGATGTTGTGTGTGTGTGTGTGTATGTGTATTCAAGTGTGCGGCACTGCGATAGCAACGAATATCAGCAGCAGCAACAACAACAACAACTACAACAACGAACATCGACCACGAGTTGGGCCTCGTCGTCGCATTACCAATTTAAATTCCCATCCAATGCCCGCACGTAGCAAAAGAGCCGGTAAGGAATAAAGCGACAGACAGAAGGACAGGCATACGAACGAACAGATGTATGTTGGGTGAGAGGGCGAGAGCGAGGGTAGAGGCAGGCGCAAACACGACAGAGTCTGAAAGAAAGAGTATTTAATGAGCGCTACTGTTTCGCTTATGGCTGCTGTTGTTGTTGTTGCTGTTGCTGTTGTTGTTTCTGTTATTGCTCGCAATGCCAACTCGATATGTTACAGTTTTTTTCTTTTCATTTCTACTTTGCTGCTCTCTCCTCGCCTTTTCTATTGCTCACTCTTTCTGGCTGTCTTTTGCTAATACAGCGCTTGTTGTTATTGTTTTTATGTTCTATCAAATTAGGTTCATTTGCCAGTGCAAACGTCTGCCGCTGCCGCTGTCGACGTCGCTGCCGCTGCCGCTGCTCCTGTAGCTTTTGCCAAAAGCACCCTCTGTGCAGTTGCTGCTGTTGGTGTATCAAGTGGGCTGTGCGAGTTTTAGTCAATGTGTGCGTGTGTGTGTGTGTGTGTGAGTGCTTATCGACTATGTGTAAACCGCACGGCTCACTGGCTGCCGGTTGCTTGGCTGCGGCGTTGCCGTCGCGTTGACGCCGTCATTGCGGTTGTGAGTGTTTGTGTGTGTCATTATATACTGAAAGGTAACGACTGCGTTGTACATGTACTCTTATGTAGTATGTGCCACCAACCCGTCTCCACCACCACCACCACCACCACCACGAACACCACTTCCACCACCGCCGCCGCCGCCAACTGCTGAAGCTGTGGCATGCTGATAATTCAATAAGCTGCAAAAAAAAAAATGCCAACATTTTTCATGAGCTCGCCGCTGTAAATTGGCATTAAATGAGTGGTATGACACACACACACACACACACATGCATATATTGATATTTACTTATGTGCATACATATGTAATAAATATTTGCCCTGTATTTTGCGCATTTTACAGAAGTACTCGATGTTATGTAAAATGCGCACAGTCTGGCAACGACATGCAAGCAGCATGACACCGCAACTGTGTTTACTCTTATTCAACAGCAGCATCATCATCAACTCTACACAACTCTAGCTCCAACTCCAGCTCCGACTGCAGCCAGCTGCCACCCAACGTCAGGCACAACTTCATTTGCAATGCAAACGCAACGAGTGAGTGGATTGGAGTGGATTGAAGCGTGCGTGAGTGGGAGAGAGAGTTGGTGTCGCAAGCAGCGTGGAGAGTGTCTTGTGTAATCAACTAATTACAACGGCCGCCCAATGCCTGGCACCAGCCAGCCGACTGCCGCCCGTCGCACCCCACACACCCGTCGCGCCAACAGAAAATTTATCTTGTTAAAGTGACTTTTTAGCGTTTGCCTTCCGACCGCCCGCCCGTCCGCTCATCCATCTGCTGTTGCTGCATCATTTCAAGGAGTTCATCATTAGAGACAATTGAGTAGCACTCAATCGTTGTAGCCCGCCACTCAAATCAATCAATCAATGGAGAGAGAGAGAGAGAGAGACAGAGAGCGAGCAGAGCAAAAGCTGTCCAGTTTGAGCTGATGTTCTTTGTGAGTAAACAACTTTACCGTTGCTTTTTTTTTATTTTACTTTTATTCTTCGTCGATGCTTTAACAATTCGTGCAGTTATTATTCTTATTTCCGGTTCAGGATTTTCGTTGATTTCGCCTTCACCCTGAAATGCCAAGCGCTCCGTTTGCCACTGTAAATTGATACTTTTTTTGGGTCTCACATTTTTTTCTTCCAAAGAGCATGATGCAAAAAAAAAAAAACCCGAATAACATAGCAGGCGCGAGCGAGAGGGAGAGTGCGAGAGAGGGGAGACAAATTGGAACGCGGCACTTGGTCTTGGAACTCATCTGCCCTGCATATTAATAATGGTGGACTAATTGGATATTAATGCTGGGTTTTCATTTCATTACATGACCGAATTATGTCCCCAGGCAAATGAAATTAGAATGACACTCAATCAAGACGAGGCAGAGATTCAAATGTTGAGTATTCTTCGCAAGAGTTAAGCAAATTGTTTGCGTACAACAAATCATATTATCTGACGGGAGCGAATGAAAATGAATACTGTGTGGAAAATATATTCATTTAAGCTTTAAAGTGAATGCCTTGCCCTAATTCACATCCTCTAAGTTCGAACAGGTCAGTTAGTGATTCATTTCTTTATATATCAGCCTTTCGAATATCTTATCTATCTTATTCATTCAAATGTCAGCTCAGCTTTCTGTAGTTCTTCTAGTCTCTGAGTTCGAAGCGAGATGTTCAGGATGATCAGGAATATATATGTATATGAATATACTCACATACATTCACATGCTTAGGTCTCAACTTTATGTAACCTCTTTTTTTTTTGATAATTTTGTTTTTTAAACACATTTTATGGGCTTTTAAATACAAGTGAATAACTGCCGCCATTTCGAGTTCACTCATTCATTTAATATTCATTCATAAACTTTTAGCCAAATGCGGCGCCTTGGCCCTTCGCTCTGAATAATTTATGGAATTGTGCGGTTGGAGCCAAAAACTCCAATTACAATAATTAAGCAACTGCCCCAACTCCTGGCGCAGGCTCTTAAGCGTGCCACACATGTATTCACACACACACACACACACACATGCGAGTGTTTTGGGCGCATCTGAAAACAAGTTTAATGCGCTTGGCTTTTAACGCATTAAATCAGCATTTATAAATCATTTGTGTAAGCGCACAACCAGGCTAAGCACACACACACACACACACATACACTCGCACTCACACTCACGTCGCCGGCACAGGTAACAGTTGCTCGTGCAGTTAATTAGAAATGCAAAATTACACTCAAACACACACTCGAAATTGCGAAATGAATATTCAAAGCGAAATGAATGCCACAGCGAGTCATAAAAAGCTTATTAAATAGTTGAGCAAGCGATTTCATCGCATTGCCCATATATACAGATATAATCTGAACTATAAAGTATGTATATATATTCCTTATTTGTTGAATATAGCCTGATATGACTGTTCGTTTCTATACAAAGCTGCATTTATTGATGAATACGTTCATTAGGTCAATTTCATTTGGTTCATTTTGCTAAACATTGCAAAATGAACACTTTGGCTGTTTTTACAGTGGCAGCTTATTAATTCGTACACCATTGTGGGCACATCATTGAATAAGTCTTATAACTTCAAGTAGGCACATTATTTTCGTTGCTGCTGTTGATCCCGTTAAATGTTTCAAGCTGCAGGCACAGCAGAGAGCGAACACTCTGCGAGAAGAGGCAGTGCAGAAAAATGTCCACTGCACTGCACGTGATTGGTCCCAACGCCTTTGATCCCGTTAACTGAGCGCACAAGTGCCTAATGCCTGCGTGGGAGCGAGCTTTATTGGGCAATTTTAGTCAGTGCGCGTCTCTCCGTTTGATCGGTCGTATTCGTTGTGCGTGTAAACAAAATCATTTAGTGAAAGGTATTAAATTGAATAAATGCTGCTTAACGCGATTAGTTTGTGCTTGTCAAATCAGTCTTCCATTCGCTCTTCGCCCTGTGCGATATGTGCGTGTGCGTGTGTGTATTTAAGAAGCAATAAAATGTGTGTTCCGTTTTTTCCTTTTCGTGCTGCTGCGTTTTGTCACTCAACACGAATTGGCGCGAAATTGCGCATAATTGCGCGTAATCCGCACGCAAAGAGAGAGTGAGTGAAAGAGAACTGGACGAGCACTTTACTTAGTAAGTTTGCTCTTATACATACAAACAAACCAACACACATACTTATGCATATGCATACACGCATTTACGTAGTTGTTTACTTGATTTAACCGTAAAACAAATGTGAATTTTTGCTTTACACACGAATTAGATTTTTTTTTTGTCAAAACTCAATCAATTTTCGAAAGGTAGATTTTCTTAAGAATTATTTATTTATATTATTTTTATTGTAAACGCGCCGAATCAGAATTTCCCTCACCCATATCTCGGCCAAAACTCAACCGATTTTTATAAAGTTTGACTTTTTGCTTATGGCTTGATCTCTAGATCAATTTGGCATCTAAGTCCGTGAACATTTTGCTATATATTTACAAACCTGGCTAGTGGAAGAGCTTCGGTCTGCAAGTGTATTCAATCTTCGTCGTGCCGAAAATAACCTTTCTTTTCCGTTTCCTTATTAACTTGATTAACCTCCGGTTAATTATGGTCAATAGCAAACATTGCTATCGACTCGACAAATGCAAGTCCCTATGCTCTGTCCGCAGCTATAACCATTTGAGAATTATAAGCAACGGACGGCTTTTGTCCTTATAAATGTCAGAAATTGCCTTGGAAAAGATGTTATTGTTTTATTTTTACTACTCAGAGTGTAGTCTATTGGATTATTGGCTTGAACGTGAGCATAAGCCTGGATAAATATATATCTATATCTATTGACCAGCTCATTATAGCCACAAATCCTTGAATGATGTTTGGTTTGATTTTGTTTATGCTCGTGTAATTGTAATTAATGACAAGCAGCTATTGAAATAAGCAACACACGTCCTGAAATAATAGCAACCATTTCCCAGTTTCCACTTTACCAGTTTTTCCAGTTTAGCCTCGGGAAAGGCAGCAATGTTGCTTTAATTGAATTTCGTGTGGCAAAAGTTTCGACGTGTGTGTCCTTTCGGGTTTGGGGGGGGGGGATGGGCGCAAAAGTTTCTGCGAGGCGCCAAGTCCTTTAATTGCAATTTGTACCAAGTTTCGTAGTCGTTACCACTCCCCCCTCCCCTCTCTCCCGCTCTCCGTCTAAACGACGATTTATGTGCTTAGCATTTGTGTTACATAATGGCGCCAAATTAGTTTCTCGACTTTTTGCCAAAGCACAAGGTACGCCATTTAATTAGCTAATCCCACGCCTGTCGACACATTAAGTGGCATTAACTGCGAGAGGGAGAGAGAGAGAGAGAGAGAGAGAGAGGGAGAGAGAGATACTTGAGCTGACGAATGAACTTTTGTTGCGCCAATCAATCGAGATTTATGTTTATATGAAATTAATGTCCAGTTTGAAGGATGACCTAAGCTGAAGCATGCCTCTCAATCGGAAAAGTTGATCTAAGATGCAAACTTTACATAGGCATTGGAATGATATTTGTCAATTGGGTAGTATTCGAATTTTCCCAACCAAAACTAAGCCATATTTAACGTAAAATTCCTGAGCTCAAAATCAAGTTGATTTTCCAGAGAAGAATATGAAATTATTTTGTATAACCTTCTAAGGGGGTCATCATGAAGTGTGTAACGCATAGACATCTCCGACTCCATAAAGTATATATATTCTAGATCAAGACAATGTAATTATATTGTTTTTGTCTTTGTTATAGCCCTGGGCTTATCCCTTCGTCCGTCTGAGCCTCTGTTAGTTCCCATACGAACTCGTCTCTCAATTTTAGTGCCAAATTCTTGAAACTTTTCAAAAATCGGAGAGATCGGTCCACTATATCATATAGCTGCCATAGGAACGAACGGTCGAAAAGTTGTTTCTAGTATGAACAACATTTCATTACTCTTCTCATAATATGCAAAATCTTATCAATATCGGTTCAGTATAACATATAGCTGCCATAGGAATAATCGATCGAAAATTAAATTGTTTTAATATAAACTTTTTGGTTTCTCAACATATCTTGAGCAAAGTATATCATAAAGTTTAATACTATAGAAAGAATCGGTCGAAAAATAACTTTTTATTTGGCAAATTATTCCGTTTTCCCAGATATATTTTCATGAAACTCGGCAGAGCTAAGAGCTACACTAGCTTAGGTCTTTGATTTGCCGCATATAAGCTTGCTTTCTCCTTTCTCCTGCCCAGACTTGCAGCCAGGACAGCAACTTCTTTAAGCTCCTAGCACTTAAGAGCTTTTGAATATCGAACTACTATATAAAACATATGACAAAAATCAAGAAAAAAAAACTTCTTCCTTGTTTCAGACACAATCTTAAAACACGAATTTTTTATTAGCTCAGCTAACTAAACTAGCAACACCTTTTGCTAGCCACTTACAGGGCATCTCTTGGCCCTGCATATTGGCCCCTTTTTTTGTCTTCTTTGTAGCGCTCTGCCGCACATAAATCTTTTGATTTTCAGCGCCGGGCTAAGCCAATTCGCACCTAATCCACCCTTAAAGCACTACACCTATCCGAATATATATCGGCTCTACCCTTGTTGCCTTGTCGCGCACATTCATTAGACGTATCGACGGCTCGTCCTGGGCCGTTGTCCTGCGGCTGTGTCTGCTGGGAGTCATTCCTTGAAAATTGCCAATTTTCGAAATCGGAAACTTGCCAAAAACGAGGCAAAAGATAAACAATAACAATGCGTCCGAGTTTCTGTTTCCATTTGCCATTTTCATTGCGAAAAGTTGCCAGCGGAGAAACGAGAAGAGACATCTTCGCTCTCTCTCTCTCTCTCTCTCTCCCTCTCTCTTGGTCGTAATCTTTTATTTTCTTTGTCTTCGACATTTTTCATTTTAAGGACGAGCTCTAACAGCGGGGGATTAGAAAAGGGACACGGACACGGTCCGGACCAGGCCAGCCACGAATTTAACGACCTTCACGCAACGCATTGACCTTGTGACCCATGAGAGAGAGAGAGAGAGAGAGAGAGAGAGGGAGGCAGCTGCCTGCTGATTAGCATTAACTCTCAATTTGACCAGAGAAAAGAATTTCAGTTTTTTTTTTGTGTATATTTTGATTCTCGTATAAATAGGTTTTTATTATCGATTAGCTCGTGTTTATGGAATATGTTTTGGACTTTAAAATCTTGTTTACAAAACTCTGTGTGCTTATTTACAATTTGTGAAACAACTTGTTTTGTGTTTAGTTTTTTATACTTTAACTTGGCCGTTGGCACTTAAAACTAGACATCAAAATGGCTCAAAACGAAAGTTTCGAAAGCTTTCAGCTGCGCTTTAAGCTCAGATTTGGTAGCTTTAAGTGTGCTTAATTTTATACAATTTCTTCAGCTGTAAATGAAAAAGCTGTAATTATCAGCTTGAGCTTTTATTTTGCTTATCTGAAGTTACTTTGCGTCTAAGTTTAGCTTTAAGTGTGAGATTAATCACGCTGAAAGCTTGCAACTGCACTTAAAGCTCTGCTTCTCAGCTCTTTGCAGCTTTAAATGTGCTTAATTTTATAAAATGTATTAAGTGGTAAATTTCTGCAAAGCTCCGCCTCTCAGCTTGAGCTTTAAGTGAGCTCTATTTTATTTTTATTTTGTTTAATAACTTCAAAAGCTTTCAGTTGTTTTGTTAACAGCTTTAAATATTTACAGGCATAGAAGCTGAAAGCTTTAATTATTTTAAAAAGCTCTGCTCACTAATTTTGAGCTTTAATCATGTGCAATTAATCAAGCCAAAAGTTCTGCTTAGTGGAGCTTTTGGTGTGTTTGAGCTTTTACAATTAAACAAACTGAAAGCTGTCTCTTTCCTTTGTATGGCTCTACTGTCTCTTGCCTGAAATCAAGTCAAAGTTGGCTTTAAATAAATATGCATATAGTTAATATTAGATACGAACAGCTGCCGTATGTGTATATTGATTCTGAATCGATCTGTGGCTTAGCTTATATATAGATGTTTACAATGTAAATCGTATATTTATGTTAATCGTAGTTATATATATATTGTTTTGTATAATATGTACAGCTCTTTATGTACACAAAGTCGAACGAAATGGAAAAAAAAAAAACTCGTATAACAACAGCTTATAAAAAACTAAAAACAAAAAGTAAACTCTTTAAATATTAATTAGTGCACACCTTTACCCCAGAGGGTTAGACGAGCTGTTGCGGGGCGCAAGAGGGGTTTGTTCCGGGTGTGGGGTTGTTTTTGGGTGGTTGACGGTTTCACTTGCTCTTGGCCAGCGCATTGTTGCTGGTTGCCGCTGCCTGCGGCCGGGCGCTGCCGCTGCCGCCGCCGCCGCCGCTGCTGCTGCTGCTGTTGCTCTTGGCCAGCGTCGGCGTCGGCGTCGCTGCCGGCGTCAGTTTGTGTGCGGCGGCATGTGGCGAGGTCTTGGGACTGGCCGCAATCGGTTGACTGGCGGCCGTTGGCAGCGTTACTGTGGGCAGCATGGGCATTACGGGCTGTCTATGCTCGCCTGCTGCACCCTCTCCGCCCGCAATGGCCGCACTCTTGAGCTTCTGCAGGTAATCGTTGAAGACCTCGTTGCCGGCACGCTGCATCCGGGAGAGCTGATCCATCAGATAGGCCTGCTGATAGTTGTAGATGGCGGGCGCAAAATTGTACAAGAGATTCGATTGATTGGCCGCAGCCGCCGCCTGGGCCACCTGGGCGGCCGCCTGGGCGCGCAGATTGTCCTTGAGGAAGTTGCTCAAGTCCAGCTGATTGGCGCTTGAGGCGATGCTCAGCGGCGCATTCGGATTGGGCAGATGCGGATGGGCATGCCCAGTCGGTGGACCCATAAACTTCAAGCTGGAGCCAAGAGCTGCCGGCGGCGTCGGCGTTGCCAGTTTGTGTTTGGCGCCGGCCTTGCACAGCGCTTGGCTGCTGCCATTGGCGTGCGCGAGCTTGGCTGGCGTACCGCTGCCTCCACCTCCGCCTCCGCCTATCGCGCCTCCGGCGCCGGGTGACTTTTTGCTGGCGGGCACCTTTTTGCTGTTCGGCAAATTGGCGGCAAAGTTGTAGCCAACGGGCTGCTGCGGCAGCAGCTTAGGCTCCGTTGTGGCGCCTCCGTTTGTGGCATTCTGGCGCGGCAGAATGGGTCGAAACTTTTTGGCTGCCGACTCGCCGCCATTGGGCGTGGCACAGCCCGAGGCGCCGGCAGCAGCCGACGTTGCTTGCGCGGATTTGGGTGATTTGTTCTCGCTAGAATTGGGCGAATGGCTGCCCTGGCTGGCGGCGCGCTTCTCCGGGCTGGGCGTCTTCTTATCCGACTGCTGGGGCGTCAACACCGGCTTGGCCGTGGCCGTTGCCTTGGGCGAGGTCTTGGCCGGCACAGCTGCTGCGGTGGCGGCAGCAGCGGGCGGCGTCAGGCGCGCCAACAAATGCTGCGGCGAGGGTATCGTCTTGCTGGGCGGCGCGGGCAGTTTGACGGGCGGCTGAGGCGTCGGCGTCGGCGTCGCCTTGGCAGCCGCTGTTGGCTCCTTCTGCTCGGCAGATGCCGCCGGCTGATCGGGCAGCTTGACAATTTCGATATAATTGTTAACCGGACTCTTGTGCTTGGCATGGCCGCCGCTGCTCGGCGACGAGGCGTCCCCATTGTCGCGCGATATGGTTATCGACAGCGAGGAGGGTATATTGATGTTGCATGAATTGAGCAGAGACTTGACCTTCACCTGTTGCTTCTCGGGCGCATCTTCGGCGGCCGGATTTGTGTTCTGATCCGTTTTGGTTGGCGGCGTGGGGAACAGACCGCCGCCGCCCGCTCCTCCAGCTCCGGTTCCATTTAACATGCTCTGCAAATAGTTGCTCGCATTTGTTGTTGCTGTCGTCGAGTTGTTGTTGTTGTTGCTGTTGTTGCTGTTGTTGTTGGTTGTTGTTGGTTTGGGCGTGTATTTGTAGGTGGGCATGGTTGGTATATTATAGTTGGACACATATTGCGGCGAACTGGGCGAGTAAATGGGCGAATTGGGCGTGTACATGGGCGTGCGGCAGCCGGGCGGCGCCTCCTTGCCCTTCGACTTGCTGGCATTGAACAAAGCCAAATTCAAGTAGTTTGATTTGTTGTTGTTGTTCGAGTTCGAGTTGTTGTTGTTGTTGTTGTTCGAGTGGTTGTTGTTCGAGTTGTTGTTGGGCTTGTGCATGGCACTCGGCGGTCCCATTTTGTGCTCCGGCATCTTGGGCCCGTAGACGTGCGTCTTGGCCTGGCTGGCAATCGACTTGATCTCGGTGCCAACATCCTTGAGCAGACGATTCACATCGCTGGGTATGTTGGCGAACGGATTGGGACGTGCCGCCTTCGGCAATATGGGCTGATAGCGTTTGGCAATGGGCGTCCGATTGCCGGGCGCGGCCATTTGCATGCCCTGATGATGCGGCGGCAGCGGTGCATGCACCGGGTAGGGGCTGTGCGGCAGCTGTGCCTTGCGTGCGGCTGGCACGGGCAGCGGCTTGGCGGGCGGCGGCGGCATCAGTGGCTTCTCGACAGGCGCCGCCAGCATTGGCGGGGGCGGCGAGGGGCAGCTGTTGGGCGCGGGCAGACGTATCTTGAAGTCCTCGCGCGGCAACGGCGGCGATAGTTTTGGCTTCTTGGAGACGGCCTTGACGGGCTCCTTGCTCTTGCGCTTGGACGAAGCTATCGATTTGGGCGGCATCGCGCTGGGCGGCTTCATCAGCAGGCTGTCGTCCAGATGCGTCTTGGACTTGGCTGCAGGCGGTGCTATTGCTGGCGGCGCTGCATGGCTGGCCGGCTTCTCCGGCGACTCCAACTTCACCTTGATGGGCGTCAGTGCGAAAGATTTGAGAAACTCGGACTTGGGATCCTCCAGGCAGGCGCCGCTGGTCACGCGCGGACTGAGCACGGTGCTCACGCCGTTTGGACTCAAGATGCGCTCCGTGCGAATGGTTAGCGGGGGCACAGTCAGCGGGGAGGGGCTCTTTCGTTTGCGCTCGCTGGAGGTGGACGAAGAGGTGGAGGAGGAGGAGGAGGAGCTGCTACTGGAGGAAGATTTGGGGCTGCCATCCTTGTCCTTTTTGCTCTTGGAGCGCGATTCTTTCTCCGGTTTGAGCGGCTTCACAATCTCCTTGCGCTCCGGATCGGACATGTTGATGATTGTCACGCTGTTCTGCTTGGACAGATCGATCTTAAGTTTTATGTTCGGCTCCTCCTTGTTGTAGTTGCCGGTGGGCGGAAACTTCGAGTTGGCGGTGGGCGTGGTCGGCGAGGATTTGGCCGCTTTAGGCGAATGATGATGATGATGATGATGATGATGTCGCTCGTGTGGCAATTTCTCCTGCTTCTCCAGCTGATTGCGATTAATGAAGAGTTTCAGAGATTGCTCCGTCGGCGATGGCAATTTGGGCGCAATGCGGAACTCATCCTGCGGCTGCTCCAGCTTGATGCGGGCGAGCGGCTGTGCCGTTGCAGCAGCTGCTGCGACGGCCGGTGGTGAGGGTGAGGGAGACTTGACGAGTGCCGCAGCAGCCGGGGGCGAAGAAGTGGGCGTGACAACTGGTGTGGCCAGCTCCTGTTTCACCTGCGGCTTGGCGGGCAACGTCATGGGTAACGCCGGCTTCATCAGCGGCTGCGGCGATTCGTAGACACGGAAATAGAAACGCATCGGCGCGTCCCGCTTCCACGTGTATATGTAGGCGATGTCCATGAGCGTGTAGTAGTCCTGCAGCACAATGGTCTTCACCTTGTACATGATGTCGATGCTGAAGTGCTGTGCGTCGATCTCGTACTTGTCGTAGACGAACTTCTTCAGGTGACTCACCCGGCACATGGCCGGGCATTGCAGATAGCGCGGACGTAGCGTATCTCCGAATTCCACGGCCGATTCGGCATTCAATTCGCTAAATGTGGTGAAAAGAGAGTGAGCGAAAAAAGCGGGGAATTAGATGGTGACAATCGAACCGTTTAAAATCTAAAATTTTAGATTTTTAAGTGCATAAGGTTGCCAGACTGAGATAAATTTTAGTTTTAAATTTTATTTTAAAATAGTGAGTGGAAAAATCGTGGAATTGATAAGTGCCAAAGGAACTGCCTCAAAAAACAAAAGGCTAAGGGTTGCCAGATCGAAATTTAAGTTTTTTTTGTGGTTTTTATTTAGTTCAAAGAGCAGGTCGCTTATTGGTCTCATGCAAACAATTGCCAGACTAAGAAAAAACAAATTTTATATATCCTATACCATAAATACTCTTCGACATGTCTATAAACCCAACTTAATTTACTTTGGCTTAGTCTGGCAACCTTAACTTTGGATAATTATCGATTGCAATCGATAACTCGATTAGTTTGGTTAGCAACTTACCCTAGCTCTGCGTATTCCAGCGACAGGGACATATCATCGGAGGGACCGAATATCAAATGTTCGGTATCGTCGCCCCGCTGTTCGGGCGTGGCCAGCGCCGCCTCCTGCGGACGATCCTTGTAGAAGGCGCGCTTACGCATTAGCTCCCGTTCATAGAGGCCCGGCACGAGCTTGTAGACAATCGCCTGCAATGTGGTATCAGATCTGCAAAGAGAGAGGAACAGAGAGGGGGGGCATTAGTTGAGGTGTTGCACAATGCGGCTGCCTTCCTTAAAGTTAGGTACGACGACATGTGTGCGCAGTCAAATGGAAAACACAAAGAGAGTGAAAGGGAGGCAGTTAGGGTGCGAGTGAGACAGAGCTAACAGGGTGCCGGGCATCAAAGAAGACGGCTGCAGCGCTTAGTTTACGTTAATGGAAAGCGGGAAAATGTGTCGTAAATAAGAAGTCAGCAGCGCGTAGAGAAGCGACTTCCTTGGCGCGAAGGAAGTGAAGGAGAGAGAGGGAGAGGGAGAGAGCGAGTGCGAGAGAGGGAGGGAGAGAATAGTACAAATTAGACGGCAGATGCAATTGCTGCCTTGGCACGCAACAAACGCCGCCAAAAGCGGTGGCAGGGGCAGCAACTGTGTGGCATGCGCTGTTGCTGCCACAAAGCAGCAGCAGCAGTTGTTGTTGTTGTTGTTGTTTCTCCTGGCTGACTGGCGCACAGGAACTCGCATTAAGTCGCATTTCATAGAAAACTCAGGCGCGCTCGCCTTCAATCAAAACGGTTTTTGTCTAAGGATTCGAACAATTGAACAGACCTGAAGAAAGGGAAAAGGGAATTTCGGCGCTTGGCCAGGGGTAGCTCAGCTCCTCTGAGGGATAGCAATTGTCTCGCGAGGGTCCTTGCCATGAGCCAAAATATATGAAAATAAAAAAAAAAACAAAAATCGGAACTAGGTAGGATCATTTACATGCCAGCGGGTTTTTGAATACAAAAAATAAACCCCACACTTTTCAGGCAACACAGTTTATGAGAGTTGCGTTTAAATTCAGGGCAAAAACAGGTAGAAAATTAAGAAATTTATGCTAATTAACTAATTAAAACCGAACTAAAGAAATAACATTATATAAGACCTTATTTGATATAGAAATTCACAATTTTGTGAAAAGGCAGGCTGGCAGAAAGCCTAGACAAAGAGATTATCTGAAAGGGATTATGCGAATGAATGAGGTTATGTGCAGGATTGAGGTTATGTGCAGGATTGAGGTTATGACAAAGTAAGCATCATGCACAAAATATTGCTCAGGCATGTCTCTAATGCCTAATGAGAAAACAAAACAATAGAACATATCAAGCTAAGTTAAGTTTACCCTACCCAAAAGATAATAGAAAAGTGTAAGGTTATGTAAACTTAGTCTGAATAATGTGTCATTCGGCTTAGAAGTAAATACAAAAAAAAAATGCAGCTTTAAAAAAACTCAGTAACAGTTGCATTTTACAGCTCAAATGATGCAATCATTCACTTCTCTATGCGACATAGAAAATGGGCAAAACTTAAAAATAAACCCAAAATTGAGGTTATGCGCGCATGTTTGACACGCATTCCACTAGCCGAATGAACTGTCATTCGTATTTATTTCGCAAACAGAAAGCGTGTGTGTCCTTAACGCGCATTGACAGCGCTCGGACACAAGTTCGTATAGCAATTTGATTGTAGGTTAAGTGCACAGAAATTGAGGTTAGGTGGCATCAGATACCACGCATCGAATGACGGTGTCATTCGCCGAATGTCGGCAACAGGCTTTTGGGGTAAGCCACATAAATGTCAGATGCATGGGAATTGAAGTTTCGCAAGTAGATTGAAATTCTAGTTTGGTTACAAGCACGCTGCCACGCCCACAGCCGCCCACAGCTCTAAACTTTGCGAAAGTGTTGCGGTTGGGGGGAAGAGGAGGGGGGGTGGTATATTTTTGGCTGTAACCACAGAACTTTCGCTGTGGCAAATGTGGTTTGGGCCAACTTTGGGGCATCAATTGCGAATGCTGTTGGAGCTTGGCGAGGGGCAGGGCCAGGGAGCGGGAAGGGGGAGTTCTACTGCCTGCTGGTGGTATCCACCTTGAATTGAACTTTGCTGCTGTCGAAAACTTGCCGCTTTTTATTTTTTTTTTTTTGTTCTCTAACTTTATTTGATGCCTGCCAAATATTTGCACTTTCCCCTCCCGTCGCACTCTCAGCCGACTATTGCCGTCTCTTTCTCGTCTGGCTACGCACACGTTTCTAATGGCAAACACGTTCGTGACGAGCGAATCAATTTAAGGTACAGCTTTAATAATGCGAGCAAATGTTTTTTGCTGCAGACACGAAAAAACCACCCGCTGCCAGTGTTGCCACCCCGCCCATTAACCAAGCTACCCACTCAGCTTATACAAATTGTGCACGTTGCTGTTGTTGTTGTTGTTCCGACTGGGAGTCAGGTTGTAATCTCGTTGCTGCATACAAAAAGATAATGAATACACAAACTGAAAAGATAGCCAGAGTCGAGGGGCAACTCTCTGGATTGAATGAACCTTTTGCCTTTAGATGGGCAGCACCAACAGACCAAATGGTGCGAAGTCAGCAAAAGGAGTCACAAAATAGACAACTCTATATATATACCATATATATATAAATGTGGGGATATCTGTGCATAAGCGAGTAGACAAGTGGTTTTTGTACGTGGTCTCGAGTCTCCAATTAAATTTATTGCAAAACTTTATTGTTTAACCCACAAATAAAACAAGGAGAGAAAAAAAAAGCAGAAGAAGTCCCTCGCAAAGCAAAACAAAAGCGAGGAGTCTATTTATTTTTGTTTTATTAGCTATTTTCTTTGGTCACAAGGTAAACACAAAACCAACGAAAGAAAAAGACGAAAAAAATAAAAAGGAACGCAACTCTAAGCTGAAATTGTGGCCCGGCGTCGGCCATGTTTTCATTGTATTACGCCCCGAAAGCGACATCATAAAAATGAGAAAACAATACTAAAAAAAAAAAAAGTTGATGAAAAAAAAGTGCTGCCCAACTGATAAACTGCAAGCCACCAAAAACAAAAACGTGGCAGCATTTGCCAAACGCATTTCCAAGAAAACCAAATCGAAAAACGCCACAGATAATTAACGGGCGGGTCTTCTGCCGTCGGCCAGAGGCAACTGGTGGAACTGATGGAGCAACTGCAGGAACATTCACAACATCCAACAACAACAACAACAACAACAACAGCAACAGCTGGAAACAGTTCACAAAAGCCAAAAGGCACAGACGAGTTCCTGTTTCCTCCCAACCCGCCTTCGTTGCCAGCGAGTGCTGCCCTCTGTTCCTTTATTTGTTCCTTCTTCTGCTTCCTTTTTTTTTGTTGTCGTTGTGCAGCACCGAAATTGAGACAAAAAAAAAATAAATAAAATAAAGCGTAAAGCTATTTCGTGTTGCAACTCGCAAAGCGCCTGAGACAATCTTTTGGGCTTTGGACTTGTAAAAGGCTTGTTTAAAAAAAAAGGATTTTTAAGATTCTCTTTTTTGTCTACAAAATTCCCAAATAGTTAACATATCATATATATATAAAGATTTAAAGCTTTAAATATTTCAAATATTATAAGTTTTAGCTCACTTAAAAACAGATGGAAACTTGCTTAAGTTTTAAACACGCTTTTAATTCAGTTTAGGTGTATTTGACTGGAAAATGAAACAATTGGAACGCGTGGAATTGAAACAGTTGGGCCCAAGCGTAAATCAGTGTTGCAAAATGATGTTTGGAGCATTTAATTGTAAGTTATTTGATTTCGCTTATTACTTTTTCAACTTTGAAAGCGTTTATTTATTATAATTTTTATTTATTTATTTTTTTGCATTGGGCCTCTTTAGCCCTTTGAGATTTGTTATATTGTTGCGCCTAAATTTGTCTACATCTCCATTAAACAATTGAATTCAATGGAACTTTCTAAGCGGTTTATTCTTTAAAATGACTCAAACAGCTGCCGTCAACTCCATGAAACCTGCTCCCTTTCCCACGTCCTGTCAAGTGTCATTCTCAAGTATTCTGCGTCTAATATTATATAATTGCGGTTGTCAGCGACAGTCGCCAAATGTCTGCAGTAGCAATGCCATATATATTTATATATAGCCAGTTATAAATATATATCTAGATGTATTTATAACATTCTCTTGGAGCTTCTTCTACTTACTTGATGTTGGGCTTGGCATTGTTGATGACCATCTCGCAGCGAGGACAATAGCGCTCCTTGCGCAGGTGATTGATGAGGCAACTGTGGCAGACTGCAATCGAGAGGAAGAGTTAGGGGGAGGATGAGTAAAACAGTTACAAATGGGGCAAAAAAACACAATAAAACTAGGCAAATTATTGGGGCTGGGCGTTGGGTGGATTCCTAGAAATTATACAAATTTATGTAAAACCTTGACGAACATAATTCCCCGAGCGTAACGCACGCCAATCCCAGGGATACGGACAAGGCGCCACCAACGCAATCCCATAGCTCTGTCCACAAAATGGGGTAGACTATACAGATATATATATATGTGTGTATATAGAGAAAGGAAGAGGGGGGGGGGGGGAAGGCTGCGAGAAATCCAGCCATTCAATTGAAACGTGCCACCCACGCGGACCACACAAAATGCTACAAAAAAAAGCGAAAAAATAAGCAGAAAAAAGCGAATTAAATTCTTGCATTCAGCTTATGCACGACTTGTAACTACTCTGCAGTTAGTTAAGATTTAGTTAAAATACTTTAAGTGACAGCTCCAAACTAATACACCCCATTTTTCCCCAGGAAATAGAGCGTAAAAAGCAAAAGAAATAACAAATGAGGGGTATATGTACAGATATACTCGATTTTCTTGAAGCATATCCCCCACTTGGAAACAGGGTATTGAAAGCGAAAGAAAGAAAGAAGAAAAAAAGTTTGTTTTGACTTTAATGTCAATGACAGTGTCTGATGCTGTCCGTCGTCCCACGGTGCGCAACAACTGTCAACCAGCGACAGGAACATACAGCGCCAGCTACAGAGATTGAGACTGGACCCAGACACAAGTCGTGGCAGCCTTCGGGGCGGGGACATAAAGTGGCAGCGACAACGGAGGCAACACATTCGGTGCGCCTGTTACGCTTGTCTGTCTGGCTGTCTGTCTGTCAAACAACGAGAGAGGGATAGAAGAGAGAGGGGGGAGAGAGAAAACTGGCAGTATTGCGAGCTGGTTGGGTGGTGCCACCAGGACGAATGGCCTCGAGAGTAGCTGCCACTACAACGAGGCAAGGTCTGCAAATGCAACAAAGTTAACAGCAAACCAAGCCAAAAAAAAAAAAATAAATATATGAAAATAGAAACAAGGCAACAGCTGTTGCTGGCATCCATTTGGTGCGTTACTAACGCCAAACGAGACGGGTTGGCAACTCTAACCAACCAGCATCCCCTCCCCCTTGCCCCCTCTGGCAACATGTGGCCATGAGATGTGTGCGTCCAGCTCGGACAACAGTTTTAAATGCGCCTCGGAAGCAAATGAAATGCCATCGACACATTCGGTTTGTCTGATTTAACTGACTGAATGATTGACTGACTAACTGGTTGATTGACTGATTGACAGACTGAGTGGCGCACAATGGGCGCCTAACTGCATTTCGATTGGCAGTCAGAGCTTAATGGCCGCACCGGGATGTGATTAGAATGTCACAATTGCGAAGAGAAGAATTGGCGCACCAATTTGTGTGTTTGTAAACAGGAACTTTTTCTAATTAGTAAATGGCATAAATCTCAACGATCTGGCAGCACTCAATTGCATTAAGTTCGCTGCGCTTGAACTAAATGACTTGAATAAGAAGTAAACTGCAGTTTATAGTGTTGGAAAGTGTTTGCAATGCGGGCAATAATGTTGGCAGCTCTGCAATATGTGAATAGAAGAACTTTGTCTAATTGCCTTATGATAGGGTAAAAGACTTAAGTAAGATCTGGTAAATTTATAGTGTTGGAAAGTGCTTTAAAGGTGAGCAATAATGTTGAGAGCAAGTTTTAACTTAGCTACATTTCATTTCTAATACCTATCTGGTTGCAACAAAGAACTTAAAGCGGACTTTTAGCTGACTGCGCTTAGAATATTTCCTTCAATAAAAATTGCATTTTTCGAAGAAAAACTCAACAAAAGTGAAGAAAAATGTCATTGTAAAGCGTGAAAATAGCAGGAAAAAACTGTAGCTCGACGCTCGAACCGGAAATTGAAGTAACGAAAATTTCAAAAGTCAACTAAAACGTTGTCTTCTTCTTTTAGCCTGTCTGGTTTTTCACTTTTCCCACCGCAACAGTCGAACCAAGAAGTGGGCAGAAAGAGGCAAAGAGAGAGGTTTGAGCTTTCCACTTGAAAGTTGTCTGATTTATGGTTCAGCAGTTATTAAGCCGAGAGTATTCTCGCAGAACCATTTGTAATTATTTAGTCAGACATATGTGCCATACATCTAACTCCAAGCCGAAATGCTTTTTCAGCTTCGAGACAAGTACTTGGGGCCATATAGAAGATGTTTTTTGAGGTATGTATGCAAAAGCCAAGAGCAGAAAGAAGCGGCTGGCTCATTAATGTTGCCCATTAACTTATCGCCAGTGCAGCATCTGGCTTGGCGTCTATCACACAGGCTCAGACTGGAGAGGGCGCCAAGTGGGGGGTTAGCTTTAGTCAGTTTGTTGTATGTATACCCTGTAAGCATTGAAAAGGTTGTATTGGTTTTGTGGCAGTGAGTGTAAGGGATATAAATGCACTCCATAAGACTACGTTTATCCTTTTCTTCAATAACGTTGCTCAAATCGATAAATATCGATTACTAGACTAGCTCTATAAGAGACTATAGAAGCTAAATGGGCTTTCAATTTGACTTATAAATTGATTTAAAATCACAAGTCAATCATGTTCATATCAAACAAGCTGTCACTTCTTCAGTTCATCGACTATCGATAACTATCGATTACTATTCCAGATTTACTTTGCTTCTAAGAGCTAAAAAAGATTTCAATTTGTCATATCGATTAGGTTTCAAAGCAGAAACGAATCATTTTTATAACAAATAATTTATAATTTCTTCAGTTTATCGACTATCGATAACTATCGATTACTATACTAGGTCTATAAAAGTCTATAGCAAGTAAATGGGCTTTCAATCTGACATATTGAAAAACACAAATAAATCATGTTCATATCAAACAAGCTAAAACTTCTTCAGTTCGTTGGCAATCGATAAAAATCGATTTTCTGGTGCAGACCTGTTTCAATTCACTTACACGTACAGAGTATCCGGCCAGTCGTTTATAGACCACCAACTAACTCTAATTAGCTCTGCGCCTATACACGAGTGGTTCATTGGCGCTGCCTGAAGGGTGCTTCAGTTGGGATTAGGGCGAGCAAAAGAGGCCGGGGAGGGTGGAAGGTAGTGGATTTGTAGCTGTTGTAGCTGCTGGGTACTTACACGAGTGCAAACATTCGACGATGGTCGTCGCATTGATCAGATAGCCCTGGCACAAGTGGCAAATGATGTGCGCATTGACGGCCGTTAGAAGCACGGGGCGTGGCGTTGTCATCATCGATGTTGATGATGTTGCTGCTGCTGTTGCAGCTGATGGCGCCTCTTCGTTTGCGTGCTCCTCGTCCGCGGAGACGCCGCCGTTGCTGTTGGCATCCTCAATGTTGGACCAGGCCGACGAAGATGACGAGGAGGAGGATGATGAACATGACGACGCGAATGATGAACCCTCCACAACAGTGGCTGTTGTTGCTGCTGGAGGTGTTGCTTCTTTCTTAATGCTGTTGCTGCTGCTGTTGTTGTTGTTGTTGTTATTGTTGTTGTTGTTGTTGCTGCACTCGAGCAGCGCGTTTGTTGTTGCTGCAGTTGCTGCTGTTGTGCATTGTGTGAATGCATTAGTTGCTGTTGTTGTTGCTGCTCTGTTTTCACTTTTTATTTTAATGCCGTTTGCTACACTGTTTTGCTGCTGTTGTTGTTGCTGCTGCTGTTGTTGCTTTTGCATTTGCATTTTATCAGCACTTGTAGCCGTTATATTTATTGCATGCTTTTTGCTGCTGTTGTTGTTGTTGCTGTTCGGATTGCTGACAAAGCTTTTGCCCGCCTTCGTCGCTTTAGTCGCCAGCCCATTCACAGCCAATGCCAGTGTTGACAAATGCTGCGACGACGGCGACGACGCCGACGCAGCTGCTGGCTTTTGTGTATGCGCCATTGTTGTTGTTGTTGCCTTCGACTCCGGCGTCATCATAATAATAATAATAATAAAAATAGTAGAAGTCGCGCTAATAATTCGCTTTTATTTCTGCAAAAAGTAAAGAAGAAAAAAATGTAGAAATTTAATATGCAGTCCAAACGACAAATAACAAATGCAAATATGGACACACACACACACACACACACACGCTCACACATATGCATATGCATGAATGGCAAAAAGAGAGCATCGAGTAGGGGTATTCACTGCGTGCTAAAAGAGTTTAATTCATGAAGTGATAAAATAATTAATAAAAAATAAATAAAATATAAAATAAAAAATTCAACAATTGAAAATAATAAATGTTAGCAATATATAAAAAATGTATAAGAATAATTCATTGAATAACATGAAAAAAAAAGCAAAATATAAAAATAATATATTTTATGCTAGCATTAAACCTAATTTGCTGTTTACGTAGAATCTTTCGTAAGACTCTTTCGAATGCGAATTCACTTTAGAATTTCCCATTTGCCTTCTTTTCGAGCGTTCACTGTATTGCTCTTTGCTCATCAAATAATCCTTAAAATACAATATGTAAACACAATAAAAAAAAGCGCTTCAAGTTGCCAACAACGCACAACTTCAATTTCCACGCAACCAATTCGGGCGAAACACACACACACAAACACACTTCAAGAGAATTCTACATAAATTCTTTGGCCTCTGTGAGCATGTACTAAAACAATAAAAGATAAAGCCGAAGGCAAGAGAAACAGCTGTTTTCGTCAATCTCAAATAACTGCATAATGATAAGAAAATATATGGGCGGGCACCTTATAGAGAGCACACTTATCTCGGGCTGGACCATAAACAGAGAAAGTCTCAATGTTGGCAGCAGGCTCATGTTAAATTCATAACCCTCATGTTAGAAGCTGCCCTTTCCCCCCGGCGCCACCTACCATCTAGAGCGCACATGATTGCCGTGTACTGCGTAATTGAAAGTCAAAACTGTTGAATCACTGGCCAAAAGCTGGTGCTCCTTTTTGGCCAGGACACAGGCGCAGCACATAAAACAATACATATATATGTATATATATAAATGTGAGCATGTGTGTGTGTGTGTGTGTGTGTGTGTGGCTTTTATATGCAATCAGTCGATGGATAATGGATGCTGGCTGCCCCTGCCCCTGCACCAAAACTGCCTTTAGAGCGTTGCCATGGGAATGTTAACGACTGCAGAGGGTCACACTGGTCACACACACACGCCACCTAGGGGGGAGGGGGGTGTCTGTTTAACAGACAGATAAGTTGGGTTATGTACGCCTGGCCAAATGAAAATGGCTTAAATTGAACTCAAACAAATGCGAGTGCGAAATGCTGTGCTTCATGCTAAACGTATTTCAAAATAATTTCAAGTTGTTTTTGCATCAACGCGCGCCAGTAAAAAGTTGTACAAAACTTTTCAGACCAACAAGAACTCTCTCACACACACACACACACACAAACACAGAAAATGTAAATATGAATGAATATGAAATGTATTCAGGGACGAGCGTGGCTTTAAAATCCTTTTTACATAAAATTTAAGTGTACACACACACACACACTCCAATACACACACAGCGTACCCAAGTTTAACCCTTGCCCATGCCCAGCAAAATCAGCTCAGGCAGAGGCAAGCGAGAGAAAAAAAAACACACTGCGAGTACGAAACATGAAAAGGATAATAAAGAAAAAAAAAAAAAAGAGAAAAAAAAAACCAAGCAGCGGAATTTCACGTGAGTTAACGTTGAGAACAAAGCGCGGCCTAGCCGACTGCAGCGATGCGCTGCGCAAAAGGCAGCGCATGAGAAATGCAACGGTAGGGTGAATGCGACAGTGAGCCAGGCTTTATCTCCACTTGCAAGCACACGCACACATATGCATGCATACGCACACATACACATGTATACACACAGGCACACGCACTACTTTCCGTTCGGCAAAAGCAGCGCGCGACGAAATAAAGTTTACAGTTTTAAAGGCATATTTAACTGTTTATGCATTTTTATATGCATTACTTAAAATTGAACAACAGCATGTAAAGTACATTTATGTAAATATGTAACAGCAGTATGTAAAGCAAGTATGTGTATGTAATGCACACGCAATTCGCTTGCCAATCGCAAATGTAGATTATGTGTGCGTGTGTGTGTGTGTGTGTGTTGGGGGGTCACAAAAAGCTGTTGCTGCTATTGTGCTGCTACATCCCCATCTTCGGCGACTTCTTTTCTGGCTGAGGGCGCGCTCCGGCTATTGTTGTTGTTGTGGTTGTTGTTTGTGGAGTGAGAGCAAGTGTGAGAGATTCATTTAATTTTGGAGGGGTCCCAGCGCAACAGCTGTGCGCTGACAGGCCGGCAACGGCAGTGTTGTAAAATGACAACAGCGCTGAGATAAAGAGCGAGAGCGAGAGAGAGCACACATAAATAAATGCAATTGCAAATCTCGCTCAGTCTTCTTCTTACTCCGCTTATGTGCATGTGTGTGTTGCATTACCTGTGTGTAGAATTGACTGCTAATCCAGTTGAATGCGCGGCATTTTGTGTTGTTGTTTTTATCCAATTGCTGCTGCAAGTATAAAACGTAATCCAAAACGCGATGCAGCAATTGCAATTGCTATTGTTGTTGTTGTTATTGTTGTTGTTGTTGTTGAAGTTGTTGTAATAATCCAATGTGCAGCTATTGGCATATTTCCACGCACACTTTCACAAATATACACACATATAAATTCTGCGTTTCTTTTTAATTAGATTTTCAACAATTTTTCTTGTGCCTTTCTTTCTTCTGCTTCAGCTTCAGCTTCAGCTGTTTGCGCTGCTACGTTTTATTGCTTCGCTTTACACTTTGCTCCGCTACTTCGTTGCTTTTGATATTTCTCAACACACACACACACACGAATACTCTCACAGCATAGAAACTCGAGCGCTGCTGCGGCTGTCACTTTGGGTTATTTGCTTTCGTGTGCACCTTTATTGTGTATTATGCTTTGCCTTATGTTTTCTGCACACACACGCACACAAACGAACTCAGAAACGCTGCTGACGCGCGCTGCGATGTTGACTGCGACTGCGACGTTTACATAGACGTCGTCATGTATATAAAGCGCAGGCTGTTTGCTGGCCACAGCTATCGTTGTTGTTGCGGCATTTGTCACACGAGACACAAAGGAAATTTCTAGTAAGCAACGTTACAGATAATTAATTGCTCTTGATATATTATTTTATTAACAATTACTATTAATATTTTTTTATTTAATTATTGTTATTTTTTTGCACTTAATCCATGTACTTTGGCTGTGAAGTTGAAGCACTTTGTGATTTGGCGGCGAATATGCGCGCACGTCTGCTCGACTCAACGTTTCGCGTTCAACTGATGAGACCACTGCTGCGGCGCTGACTACGCTGTCTTATTTACTCGTACACACACATATGCAACGCCTATTTACATTGACTGCGGCCAACTGCCTGCCCTCTGCTGGCTATTTTACGTTTTCCTTTTTGCCTACTGCGCGCTCAGTGGCTGCCACAATGCTATCTCGCTCGCACACTAACTCTCACTGGGCGTGCAACTGCTGCGCACTCGCTCTCGCTTACACTCGTGCACGACGACGTCGATTTTATTTGCGTTGGTCTCTTTTGTTACTCTCATACGGCGCACTCGAAACGGCGACGGCTTCTATTTTTCATTCGCTGCTTGCGACCGCTAAACGAACCGTTCTCGTTCGAAGTTGGCTTTGCACTGAGTTGTATATATCTGGCGACGTCTGGCCGTTGCCGTTGCCGTTGCCCGTACTGTTGCTGTTGCTGTTGCTGTTGCCGTTGCCTTTTGGCTCTTCTGCTGTGCCTGCTGTTTCTTTGTTTCTTCGATTCGCGCTGTCGTGCCGTGCCATGCCACACACATTTGTGTGAAAGGAAAGGGCTGTCGGCTGTCTCATTGTCGACGCGTATCCGTACTTATGTACAAAAAGAATTGTGTACATACATGTGTGCACATATGTATTGAAGAAGCGTGCATGTATATAAGCGCGTTGGCATGGATTGCCCTTCAGCCGGAGTGTGTGTGCACATACATACGTACATCCATACATATGTATGTACTTAAGCAAGCATTTTTGCTTTGATCTATGCTCAGAGCACGGATGTGCACACATACTTATGTAAATACATACATATAATGAAGAATGTAAGTTATACGATGCGATATATATGTATGTATGTATGTGAATACGTATCGAATATATATGTATATACAATTCAGCCACATTTCGTTGAGTTTCTATTAAAATGAAGTGCAGAAAAGTGTGTACATAGTATATATATTTTTATATATAGCTGTAGAAAGTTATGTAAAACACACAAAAATAGGCTTATCTAAGGGTAGTTAGTTGTATAAACTCGCAATATACATATTTATTCGCACGGAGTTAATCCCAGGTGTTTCCAGCGGCAACCATTGGCCTCAAGTAACGGCGCTGCCTTGCCAGTGTTGCCCCACACATATTTTGGATTATTTCTGGATTTAACGCCCCGAATTCGAGGCTCAGGTAACAGAAAGCCGCCAATTAGTCGACAAATGTTGACTATGTGTGCAAATGTACGTAATCCTACGCCCTCTTTAAATCCGTCTATTTTATAAACACTTTTTATTTCGGGCTGACTTAAGGCTTTTCAGTCGAAAGTCTGATATATGTCTTGTAAATATAATACAATATGCGTTGAAATCTGTTAAATGTTTATTAGAAACAAGTTTTAGCAATGAAATAGGTAACTCCTTGGGAATTCCAAAAGAAGTTTAGTTTGGAAATTCTTAAATTATAAAGACATCAAATAGGAATACTTTGTTAAATATTTTATTTATTTTTACTCCATATAACGCACACTTCCCATCAAAAACATATTCAAACAACATTTTTCTGTTAAATCTTTTCCAAAGCTGCCCTAAATAAACATTTTTCAGACCCAAAGCTCATGAGCAATACAAAAAAAAGTGAATTTACTTTATGATTCATCATTTTTAGATCATTTTTTCTTTGTAATAGACTATTACTCGTATATTATATATATATATATAATTGCATCAGACATTTATAAGCTGATCTTTCGCAGAGTTAAGATTCCATTTGCAGTACCCAATTGAGTTCTCCATGTATTCCAGCTATTCGGGCAAGTAAACTGCGAAGAATAGGGTTCGAATCTTAGGATAGCCTCTGGATTTAATTAAATCTATAGTAAAGCTGTACTTTTTTAAAGTTAGATGGCGGAAGGAAGTATCTGCGCCCCCACAAAGTATATATATTCTTTTCAGCATGAAAAGCCGCATCTTTGTCCTTCCAAGGCAAGGATCTAAGAGCTAAAGACTTGAATGAAGGTCCTCCGATTGCCCGCACAGCGCGAGTTTCATTCCGACAATCGATAACTCGCCTCGTTTCCAAGTAATCGAAAAACAATCGATATCGAAATAGATGTTATTGGCTAGAGTCATCAAATTTGTAGCTTTTAGAATAGTATATACAGATCAATTACCTTATACTACCCTACCCCCTACCCGTTGAAGTATTCCCCTTGTGAGAGCTGCATTTGGTTTTGGTAGAAGAGCTTTCGGCGCATCTTCTAGTCCTAGGATATCTCCCCACTCGAGCACTCTAATATAGTATAGTTGGTATAGTTAGTATAGTATAGTATAGTATAGTATAATTAGTATTATTATTAGCATAGTAAAGTTTAATAGTATTCTTTGATTTAACGTTCAAGTTGAGTATATTTCACGTAAATGAGCTTTTTCTTTTCGCTTTGCTAAAATCTGCCCACATGGCAATTCGTTGTTTCCCGTAGATAGAAACTGCATATTTGCACGTACACACACACACACACACACACACACACACACACACACACACACACACACACACACACACACACACACACACACACATGTGAATCAACAATCAGCATTTGCTTTGTTTTTGTTTTCCTCCTCTATTCATAAAGTCTTGCGCAAAAGGCAAAACAAAAAAAAAAACTCTCCAATCAGTCGACGTCTGCACTTTGCACATTCGTTCATCAGTTGTTTCTCTAGCTGCTTCTTTGTTGTTGTTGTTGTTGTTGTTGTTCTTGCTCTTCTTTTTGCCGTTTTTACCGTTCCCTGGCTCCTGTTCTAATGCTCTAATCGCAATCGTCTGCCGTTGATTATGCAAACAGGTGCTGGGTGGCAGATCTTCTAATGAGCTAGCCGATGTTGCTGTTAAAGTTGTTGTTAAAGTGCTTGTTAAAGTGCTTGTTAAAGAAATTGTGCCTTGATTTAAGACTTTTGTTACAACTAGATCTTGACGAGTTTCTGAGAATATTCTCGTTATGCAAGACGAGCTTTTCCTATTAAGCTGAAAGCATTCGGAGTTTGTCAAGATCGAGCTTTAATATAAATTTCCATTGCAACTCGAAGTTTGACAAGCGAGTTTTTCAAAGTATTTCAATCGTTTCTAGAAGATTAATCCTTAATATAATATTACACTGGATAGCATAAGAACTACTCGGATAGCTCAAGAATAAGGTGTTTTGCCCATGTTAAAAACCCGGTTAGGGTAAATAAGGGCTTACAACTTTTCGATAAAAGTATTCTCTTTCAAAAATCTCTTTTTAAGCCGTTGCATTAAGTTTTCTTTGACAGATCTGACAGTTGCGGCAAACAGTATTCGTATGCCTTGAATCAACTCGAAGCTTAGCCCTATAAGTTGATATTTGAGTCATCTCGCATGCCGAACCCGTGACAAATCATGCACAGATAAAAGCAGTTACAATCTTTTTGAAAAATGTACTGATATTTAAATGATACATAAGTATATAGCTTATATTTTCTCTTGCCCAGTTTTCTAAGTTTTATACAGAATCTAGATTTCCCCAGTTTTAAGCTACGTCAAAAGGTTCGATAGGATTTTTCTTGTGTTATTCTTAGAACTCTGAAAATAGTTTCAGGCCAAGATTATGCTGCAGAACAGCTTAAAAACAAAACGATTTGTACAATTGTAAATATGAATATTATTAATGTCAAAAAAAATATTGTAAATATATGCTGCTTGTAAAAGTTCACGTAAGTTGCTTGAATCACGTTTTTCTTAGGACTTAGGTTAGGTTTATGAATTATAAATAAATGAAAAATAAAAGGGACAAAGTTTTTCTGTCCCTAAACTTAAACTTCTCGAGCCTTTTTGATCAGTTTCCTCAATAACTGAGTATATGTCAAATTTTTAATGTTGTCTCATTCTTGCGAGTCGTTTCTTGGACTCCCAAAATATAAATTAGGAATAGGTGGATTATATAGACATATATCGGTTTATCTATTAAGTCTAGTCTAGATTGCTGGGATATAAGTAGTACAGCACAAAGGAATGTATACTTAGATTCTATATAGATTGATGTATCTATTTAAAGTACAGAGGCCGATTAATTTCTAATTTTAAAACTAGTTATATCTGGATTGTGGATAGAGAGATCAATTTGGCTTAAGTTTCTCGGTTGATATAGATATGTAGATGAAAATATTGTATATTGAGATGAAGATAACTTTCTAATAGATTGCAGATATATAAATAGGATGTTAGATAGAAAAAGAGAGTAGTTAAATACACTGAAAGATGGATAGATAGCTAGATAGAAAGATGTTTCAAAAGTTACACTGCTTTTAGATATATAGAAGCTGGATAGATTGGTAGTTGGATAGATAAATAGATAGATATATATTACAAGCATTTCTTTGCAGTCTTAATACTCCTTCATGGTATGTTACTACAGATATCGATGGATAGGCATAGCTAAAGTTTCTTTGTATGTTAAACTAAAGATATAGATATGTGCTACAAAAGTTGATATGCTTTTAAATGAACCAAATAGATAGATAGTTTCTTTATAGATAAAGTTGCATTTAAGTAAAAGAATTCCATTAATTGATATACAGAAACTAGTTATATCGATAGATACATAGACAGATAGATAGATAGAACAGATAGAAAGATGTAACAAAAGTGTCTCTGGCTTATCATAATAAAAATATGGTATATAGGATAGAATTCAATTGATGTAGTTTAAGTTTTTCTCTTTACTCAAGACTCAACTATTCATAGATAGATAGATGGAAAGATGTAACAAAAGTTTCTCTGATTTCTCATGATGGAATATAGAATAGAATTTGATTAATCTAGCTTAAGTTTCTCTCAACTCAACTATTCATAGATAGATAGATAGAAAGATGTTACCAGCCTCTAGAAATGATATTTAGTGGTAGAAGGATGGTAGATATAGATGAATTCATGTTAAGTTTCTCTTTTTACGAAGACTCTAGACTCTAGATACATAGTTGGATTATTAGAAGACATATTATGAAGACTTATTCGGATTGATGTAGATTGGGTTTCTCTGCTTCTTAAAGTCTCTATTAATGATTTCTAATCAATAACAAAGATAGATACATGGCTTATAGATAGGTGGATTGATGTAGCTTAGGTTTCTCTGCTGATCGATTGGCATTAATCACAGAGCCTGAAGTTAAATAGGGCTACCCGAGCTCAGCGTGTTCTCTGAACGCCATTTTAAGTTATGTGGCAACTCTGCTGCCCGCTGCCCGCTGTCTTCCTCGTTGTGTTGCATGCCACCAAAATGCATGTTGATTGAGCTCATCCTGTCTGCGATTCGGGCTTTCTGGACTGCAGCTCTTGCGGCTTGTCGTAAATTATTGATTGGCTT